AATATGCAGAATTCTGACTAGATATACAGGARAAAATCACTGTAGAGGTAGTCAAATAATGGACCAAGTTTCACAGAGACGTGGAATCACCACTAGTGAAGATACTTAAAACTCAGTCAAATGTGTCTCTGAGCAAGTAACAGGGTAATTCCCTGGTTGGACTGGATGATCTCCAGAGCTTCCTTCCAACCTSAATTTTTATGGGATTCTATGATTACGACTACATAAAGACCTCTTCCRCACTCACATRCATYATATTATGTCACTGTGTGAGCTCGYATCAGTCCCATGATATCATAATATCAGTCTTTTGGGGTTCATTTCTGTTCTTATTTTACACTATGTCAGTCCTCACAGACACTGAAATTTTTTAAATCAAGTAATTGTGTTTGCTGACCCATCCTAAACGTGATGGTGGTCATATACTAAATGCTACTCATTAACTGTTTTTTTGGGGGACCTTACCTAATACGGTTTGATATAAAGGCTCTTATTTTTTCCCAGCAAATGTGCCTTTATAACTAATAAAACTAATGCAACATGTATTATGGGGAATTTTGCCATTTTTGGCTTATCTAGATGGCCTCTTGTTCAAGAGGAGTTACTTTGGAAATGTCTTGAGTATCAGTTATAGACGGCTTGTATGTATTTCTTCTTGGGTGAAATGAAAAATTTAATTATACGAAAAAAATGCAAATTGCTGCCAACTGTGTTAACTGTGAGAGAGTTGCATTATCTTCTAACATAAATTGTCAGTGAATTGAAGAAAAGACGTTTTGGAAGCTGATCTGATTACTGTCAGGGAAAGTGCTCAAACTCAATTGTTGGCAAATGTCCAGTACCCATCACTGAACGATCATCACCTCATCATTCAGTCTTCTCAACTGACATGCAAAACAACATCCAAATATTCATTGCACATCTGTGCTGGACAGATTATGCATTAGCAATTCAAATCAATTCAATGTACAGGCAGTTTCTGTAAAGGCGTCTGTTTGGGTGAGATGCCTTGTTGTCTGGGATGGATAATAAGGCAACTCTGTCTAATCTTGGAGAACAATCAACCCATCTTGAGAAGGTGACTGACTACGTATGCTCTTGCCCTGACAGCACTAGAACAATGGCCCCAGAATGCACTTGACTCAGCTGGTAATAAAATCTACTTTTGATTAGCAGCCGTGGCTTATGTCAATCACTGCATGATGTACCATTGTCCTCTGGTCCTGAACACAGTTTATTTACAGGGAAACAAAAGCTTTTTGGATATGGCTGCTGCCCAGAGATTGCAAAATAGATTGAGCTGTCAGCCTCACACACTAGATGAAGATTAATGAGTTGTGCAGACAATAAATATGAAGCAATGACCATAAATATGCTAATAGGTATTATCCATATACACTATAATTGCTACAAAAATTAAAAAGTAGTGTAAAGGAAATAGGTCAGAGGGTGACAGATAGATAATCTTGGATGCTGAAGATCTTTGGTTCAGTCAGATTCTCTACAGGTTTATTTCCTTCAATTAGACCCTTCAAAGGACTAATTGTTTAAAAGCTATTTTAATAATCTCTTTTGAAACAGAGGTTTATGGGAAAATGTTTATGAAAAAGTGACTTCAATGAACGTGTTATTGAGATAAAAAAGGTGRCAACCGAAAGCAGAGATTAATGTCTGTGATCAGCTGCCCAGCTTCACTATGAGGTAAATATCTCTAAGTGGCACACTAGTGGGGACGGCAAGGAAAACATAGCAAAGAGACACAGCAATTTGCATCCCCAGACACAAGTGATTAAGGTCCTTCCAAGCAAAATATAGAGGAGCTGCACATCTGGYTGCATTGGTTTGTCTGATGTTTTCAGCTTAGCATATTTTTTCCTTTTTTCCTTTCCTTTATTTTCCTTTTTAATTGAAGAAGAGGAGAATGCCCACCACTGAAACTTTTTGAGTACTTCCAATCAAGCCTCTGGCTTTCCAATTCATTTCAAAGAGCACACAGTGTAGATTTTTGACACCTAAGGGTTTCATTTGAACCTGAAACTCAGAGTTAAACTGTTAGCTCTGTGTTTAAATGCTTCAGCACCTAAAGCTACTGAAATAGTAATGAAACTGAAAATAAGGGCAGTCATGCTCTTGGTATTCATGGCTTTGATTTTCTGTTCTCTCAGGCTTGAAAGTGCCACTGGATGCTTTTCAGGTCAGCTCACACCATACATCTCCATTAAGATTTTTAGATTCTGGAATGGGGAAGATAACTCACCCAGATATCGTCCCAGGTCAAATTTATTGTTACAATGTCAAGTTCAGTGATAAAAATTAGTTGGGTGGGTCTTTTTTCCTTCCATACTTTAACTAGAAGTTGTATCCATTTGGCTCTTGAATTAACAYTGCTAGAATTTTTGGCAAACAGCCCACAAAACCTTACAACTGCCTTACTGCTTCTGTGCCAGTCTCCTTGAAAACACAGCTGAACACTAACTACACTTGCCTAACATCTTGGAAGTCACCCTTTCTAACTAGAAATGCCAGTAAAAGAAAGCAAAAAAAAAAAAAAAAAAAAAGAATAGGGAACCGTTTAGGGAAATGTCTCACACTAAGCTGTGGGGTGAAAGGAGAAGCACATAGAAACAAATCTTTCTGGGTGAATTAGTGGAGAGAGAGGACCACTGGAAACTGCAGGCTCAAGGGCTGTGTTCTTGTTCCCAATCCCTCTCMAGCAGTGACACTGAGTCTTTCAGAATTGGAGTCTAAGGTGCCAATGTCACACACTGCCAGARCACAGCAAGGTGCTGTCCCAGCAAGGGAGGTGAGCACAGCTTATCCASATAATCAGATTGAACCAAGAGTCCAAATCATCAGGCAACTTTGTAGAGTCAAGTCCAAGGTCAAGCTAGAAACATGAGTCAACCAATCATGATCAGGTCTGATGGTAGTAGCCATGATCCATCACGGTCCTGTGGTTTCTGGGCAGGTGTGTCCTTGCTAACCAGGCAGGTTCAAGGCTAGGCCAGGATGGAAGGCTGCAGCTCAGCCTGGATCAGTGACTGTGGCTGTGATGGAGCTGCAGACAAGTGCACAGACAGCGCTCTCCAGGAAGGACTGAAGGACCAGGGCAGATTGGCCACGGCTGCTAAAACCTAATGGCAGATCCATCCCTGACACRGATACAAGAGACTGACCCTGGTTTCATTCACTTTCATACTAAAGATTGTCCCAAATTTTCATAAAAAAACTAAAAGGAAGTAAAAGCAACTCCCTTCAGAACTTCTCCATGACTTACACCAGCCATGCCATTACAGTAAGAAAAGCACAGAGGTAAATAAACTCAGCTTGGTTTTCAGTACAGTGTCATCTATGCCTACTATCATGTCCCTCATCCGACTCACTGAAACCACAAGGTGGGTTTTAGAGCCCTCTCCTTCCTCACCAGGTCRTGGCACACTTATAAACAGAGGCTTTCCTTGAATCCCTTCAGTGCCTTCCCTTTCGTTCTTACACTGAGTTTCTTAATCTTATTTTTATGATATCTAGTAATTCTAGTAATTTCTTCTTTCCCTGCTCATTTTCTGATGTCTCTGCCAATCTGAATTGTCTTGAGGCACTTGTCTTTAAAATAAACTTTTATCATATCTAGTTTTATTTATTTTTATTTAAACATCTTTGTGTGTATTCGTTATGATTTGTGTTTTAGGATGGAGTAAAATGTCACCTCATRTAGAGTCTCTGCAGCTTATAAAGACTTCATTTTCCATGGCTTTGCTTGACTGTATAATCATTTCCTAATGGGCTGTATGGAATATTGAAGAAATTGTATTTACAAAGCACCAGAAGATTTTACCTGTAATCTGTAGCAATATGTAAAAAGAAAGTTACATTTTTGGTCTTATTGTGACTTTGAAGAAGGCCTATAGCATTCGTTGTCCTATTCTTACAAGTAATTTTACCTCCATTTAAGCCTCAACTTTAGATATTCTGTAACATTAAGTAATTCAAAATGATAAATGAGGAAACCTGAGAAATTATGGGGTTAAAGAAAGTAACTGATGCTAGAAYTAAACAAAACTAATATATATGGATTAAAGAAAAGTTGACTGAAAGGAAAGAGTTAAAAGAGCATTGCTGCTCGGGGGTACACAGGGCAGATATTTCACTGTTCAGATAAATAACACATATAAAGAGAGGAGTGGACTTGATATCCTTTGTTCCATAACCCACCAYGTACAAGATATAGGTATTATACTGTTGTGAAAACACTCAAGCTTTATTCTGTATATTTCCTCTTTGAGAGCCTGTGGTGGTGTGACCTAATCAGATATTCTTTACCTGAGGGAGGAGGTCCATGGATTTCTAATGAGCCTTATTTAAACAACTGGCTAAGAAAAGCTGTGATAAAGGAGTGTGTGCCATTTRCAAAGGCTTGTTCATTAAAGACAGAGGCTCTGCTTTAGCAGGATTTGCATGAGGAAGAACAAAACATCCATGTCAATCTGCTCATCCAACACAAGGCCCCCTCATCAGAAATTAATTCCCACTATCCATTGTTAGTTGGGTTCTGATTTCCAGCTCTGTGTAAACTGGTGTTTTGAGGGGTAACTGTGCCACATCTGGACTCTGGGTGCTATAACCAACTCAGGCTGGAGTCTGCATGCCAGCACTTTGCTGCCTTTTTGTCTCTTGTCTTTACTCAGAGCTGTATGAATTCTTAAAACAAGGGATCATCTTCTACAGGTGCCATCCAGTACCATGGGGTGAGATGCAAAAGAGTGAAGAAGCAAAGTTTTCAGCCACGTCAGTTGCCAAACAATGACTCATGTGCTACTAAATTGTTTTAGTATCAGAAGAGGAAATGGCTTGGTTTGCCTAAATTTCAGCTTGGCGACAGCAATAAAAAGTCCTATTGACAAAGTTCAGTTTCATTTCCTGGCTGAGRATAAGTTTCAGTTTCTGTTCTTCCTTATCATGGCAGCAGTTTCGTTTCTCCACTCTCAGCTGGACAGTGTATAAAAAGATGGACTGAGCCTCTCAGTGCAGTCCTGGAATTCWCACCAGGAGAAAGCAAGATGTCCGACCAGAACGTCCGCAACGCTGGCTTCACTTCCTCTGGGATCACAGGRGGATCCCTTGCTTCATCCATGATGTCCCGTGAAGCAAGATCGTCTGGGGGAGGAGTGCCTTCTGGAGGCCCCACTTCTACTCTCCAGGGAATGGGTATGAGCAATTCTGAGTGTGAGTGTGTGTGTGTGTGTGTATTTTGTGGTTCAGTATACATGATCAGACAACTTTTTCTCCTTGAAAATAAGCTTGAGAAATAATTCCTTCTCTCCTACATACCTGTATTGCACTGAAGAAAAAAGATTCCCCTATTTAACTGTGTGCTATGAGTGGGGTATTATTAAGGGTGTTTCTGTGTATGTACATCTTGTGCCTGAATGAACACGTGTGGTACTCCTGAGGTTTTGTGCAGTGTTTATTTGAAGTTTGTGGTGTCTCTCCATTCTGCCAGGAGTCATCAATAATAAGATTCATGGCAGCAATAAGCAATCATGCGCTTATGCAAGAACATAATCTGTGCACCCACATTTCGTATAAATTGTCAGGTTTCCCTTGCTCTTTACTCATACAGGGAGAACTCCTAAAACCTAATGCAAACTCCGTAGAGGAGAGAAATTACTTGCAGTCGAGGAGATGTACTCATGGAGGGAATGCACATCCTTGAGAGCCCCTGAGTACTAAAACAAAGCACCCTGCCTTTCACATGAGCTTACCCTGCAGGTCCTTGCTGTTCTGCTGCTYGCACAGAGCAGCCCCTGACCAGATGATTCTTAGCAGCTTGGCACTTGTTTAACCCCAGATCCTGTGGGATTTGTGCACAAGGTATTCTCTCTGCCAGAGCTGCCTATGTGACCTGATTCAGCAGGCATCCTCTGAATAGAGGTGAGTGCCCAGAACAGAGTGCCCCATGCACTCCTGCTTAMCCAGCAGCACAGTAATTAGCTCTCTGACCTTGGAGAGAGGCTTCAAAACCCTTTCTGCCTTTGGGRTATCAGACCCACGTGTCCTGTGTGTCAAAAGTATGCCAGCCAGCAGCCTGGTTATAGATTGACATCTCTGCCGTATTGGTGAACCAGTTCCATAGCAAGCAGGTAGAAATATCCTGAAGGAGATTTCTGACTCCTCCAGCCATAAAATGAGTGGTTGACCAGGTGAGCTGGCCAGGTCCAGATTCAGGGCATCTTTTAATAGCAAAAAATGAGTAAAGCTTGACTGAGAGGAAATAAGTTGGATTTTTTTTAAGGTATGATTTAYATTGCTGCCAATATTATTCATAGAGTGAGGCCCTCTAGACTGTGAGGGAATAAGTGACTTAAGGGTCATTTAGAGACATACTGCATGTGACTCCTGTGAGGCATTTTTTAATTTTTGCTTTGTGTGATTTGATCAGAGAGTTCAGATTGTGGAACACAGTGTTTATTGAATATTCAGTAGGAAAGAGCTTRAGGGAGAGTAGCAGCCAAGGGACAGAATATGAGAGAGGAGGGGGACAGAGTGGGTGAAAAGCAGAGAAGAGAGCTGCTCTCAGGCACTATGCTGCCTCAGCAGCAGAAATCCTGGGATGCAGGAGATGCCAGTTGCTCACTCCAGTCCTATGTTAGAGTCAGCTGCACATGCTGCCTTCTGTTACAGTCCAGGGTGAYACAGCAGCTCTCAGCACACTCACAACCAGTGGGGAGCTCTTCAGAGGACATGCCCTGAAGAGAGAGAGMATGAAGCTGTCAGTTCTAAACTAAAAGACTGAAGATTTCTATCCCTCTGAGAATGCCCTGAGAATTTTTACAAGCAACAGAAGCAAAATAAGCATTTAACTATGCTTAGTTTTATTATTGCAAACTCTGTGTTAACTATGGAGTTTTATGAAAACCACCATTTTGGTGAAGAGAAGTCTGCATGACTCAAGGAAACCTTAGCCACGCCGACAGGAGATACTCCAAAAGAGTTTTTATCCATGTGGAAAATGCTAGCTCTGTAACATTGCCAAGRCAGGTGTGAGCTTTGGCTCCCTGCAGCAGGAGAGCTTGCCACACATTCTTTGCCTGATTGAGAGCTAAAACGGTCTGATTTCATTTCCGCAGGTGCTCACTGAAATCTCTCCAAACACATCTTCTTAACCTTTTCATTCAGACTGTAACCCTTCCTCCCCCCAGAACAAACACGCTCCAAGGAGCGGCTGATTCTGCAGTGGGGCATGAGTATTGTTCAGGATCACTTTACAGAAGATGTTATAACAAGCTCATCACCAAAATATTTGAGCATCCTCCAGGAATGCTTTAAGCATTATCACTAACATTTGTCGTCACTGATGCTTTATTCCTCTCCCTGGAGAAGGAGAGTTTGCAGTGGAATGTTTKGCTTGAGGCTTATTTAGACTGAGCTGAAGATATAAATTGGCCACTGGCTACCATAACTTGTGSTCCTTGAATTTTACAGGTATCTATTACAGGTTTATGTGAGGGCAGGTGAAGTGAAAGGAACATGTTCATCACCTGGAACAGAAAGTGCAATAATTACTAGTTTCTATAGAAGTTTGTTCCATGGTCCTCAGGCATCTCTGCAGAAAAGCACAGTTTCAGCAGAGGCAAATTGTGCTGAAGCTATTTTGGAGATCCAACTTCATAAAATTTGGTCTGTGCCAGAGACAAAGATTTTCTTTGTGTTCTGGAAACATCCACAAAAGCACYGATAATGTCCTTTCTCCAAAGTGGCAGCTAAAAAGAAGTATACTGACACAACAAATCAAGTAATCAGCAGTCACCTTGTCTTTCGACACATTTGCTAGCCTTGAATTTTTTAAAAACACAGTAACTCATGRTTGTCCTGTAAGGCTCCTTCCTTTTTTCATCAGTAACACCTCCTTTCCAACTGTTCTAGGTGCCAAAGGCACAACCCATTCATCGGGTTTTACCAGCAGTGGGATYTCTGGTGGATCCAAGGGCTCCCACATGATGTCCCAGGAGGCCAGATCTCATGGAGGTGGAACTCCCAAAGGCGGGACCACTTCCACTGTCCAGTCCATCTGTAAGCAGGAGTCCTCTGGATGCAGATGAATTAACAGATGACTTCTGAGAAGTCAGCAATGTTTCATCTCATTTGCTGTACATTTACTAGATGAAGGGATGTAAGTAAAGAAGTGTCTGCTTTGTACTTGAAGCAATATTTTTGCTGTTTGTTTCTTTAAACTTGGTGGGAAGAAGAAGCTGGGGAGTCAGTGGAAAGAGCCATGCCACAAAGTTGCAAAAGTATGAGTGGACAGCAGAGACAAATCCAAAACAACGGGACCGGAAAAAAAGTCCAATGGACTTTTAGATTATTTTTGCATCAGCACCACAGTGACAGTTCAACAATTCTTTTTCAATCACGAATTCAGGATCAAGCCAAGAGCACAACACTTGAACATACAAAGCAGGTGTAGCAGGAAAAAACAGTGAAACACAAGAATGGAGGCATCAGACCGACAGACAGAAATCATTAGTCTGCTTCTTGTGGCCTTTTAGAACAGCTTAGCTTTCTTTCCTTTAAAGGAAATTCCTTGGGTCAAAACCAGAGGAATCTGCCTGCACTTACTGGCTCAAAGCAGAGAACAGCAGAAATCTTCCTCATCACTCTGCACACCTAGATGAAGCAAACCAAATTATGAGAGASCCTGGTCTATGGCTGAATGCATCARTAWGGATGCTAATTTTGTTAGTAGGATCCTGTGGGGTTAGGAAGAGAATTGGAGACAGGATTGAAGATCTTAATTTCAAAAAGTGTCTTTCAAGTAATAACAGATATYTTTGATTTCTGACCTGGGAATGTTTTTAGCCAATGCTTGTGYAGTCTATATGTTTTCCTGTAGTGCAAATTTGCTTTATATTTTTCTCAGAATTGTTTCTCTGTTTTTATCCTTAGCCATGGGTGGGAAAGGAGGAAGACGCTGAATAGAAAAAAACCCATCAGCCCAGAAAGAAGCTCTGCAAGCGGTTCTTCCTTCCATCAGCTTTGACAGCTTCTCCCCTTTGCTGATCTCCCTGTTATGAAAGGAAAAGCCTTCCCCGTGCACAAATAAAGTTTCTGTTAAAATGATGGATTCTTGCATTAAATTACAAGGGACAGAGACGAGGGGCTGTTCTGTCCTTGATTAAATATTCTCTGAAGCACATGCAAACACAAGCCAATGGAAGCTAAGGCACTTTGGGATGTGAGGATGTCTTAGGAAAATCCTGGGTTTAGCAACACTAGACTCTTCAGTTGCAAGTAGTTTTTTTACAAAAAGTAATTACAGTGCAAAAGTCACCCTGTTGTGAGTGAGAGGCATAGAAACACACAGTAAGGGGCATCCAGCAGTTCCCTCTAGATGTGCTTYTAACAGGCTATTGCATTAAATTCTGCTTGATAAAAGAGACACATATACAAACAAAAGCAGGTCCCAGAACTGATTTTTGTATGCCTCTAGAGTGTCTAAGGTTTCTTTCACAATAATTTCTAACAGGGACATTTGCTTGAAGAAAGATGTCAGCTTTGTCCCAGTCATGCTGAAACTACCCCTGTAAACTTATGATATGTGAGAGTAGATAAGGAASAGAGTCCATTTTTTCTGATTCTTGTCTCACTGCTGGGGCTTTTTCCTGCTCCCCACACCTTCCTCCTTTCTTTCATATGTGCTCACATAATGATGTTTCTCTAAACACACATAACACTCTGCATTCCCTATGCAAAATCCCAAATACACACTACCCCACACTTTCATCTTCCTTCTGTCTTTCTGGCTTCTCATCCTGCCAACTCCAGCACCTCCCTGCCTCTGTATTTCCAACAAAACCACCCAGCATAGCTTCATCTTCTCTTTCCATACTCCAAGATGGAGAGAATCTCACACCTTCAGGCCAGAAGTTGAGCGGTGTTGGATTTGGGAAGCTGCAGTCATTGATCTTCTCCAATGACTCCTGTCACCCTGCTTGAGCATTCCCATCTCAGCTGCAGTTCTCCACAGCTGGGAATTGTGTTTGCCCCCATGCACCTTATGCTCTCAGATATGATCTTCTCCTTGCTGCCCAAGCACCTTCCTGAATGTACTTTAGAAGTCAATGTTTGCCTCCAGTTGCAGCAAAGTKAAATTGAATTATATGATGAGTGGCGAAATGGAGGAGAGACTAATGAAGAGGARAAGAAATGTATCTTTGCTTGCTGTGCTATGCAAAGCATTAAAAGGCAATTGAAAAACAAGGGTGTCATTTCTTAAGGTAGGGCTGATGTCTTAGCAAGGAGCTATCTTGKGCAAATACTTGAATGTAACCAGGAGCTGAAGTCACACAATCATAGAAAGATGTAATTTCAAAGACACTTTGGTATGAGGAGAATGAGATAATTTCTCTGGTCTAAAKTTCCTCTAAAAAAGGGTTAACCTTAATGTTACATTTGTTTGCTCAGAACTTTGTCCAGTCAGATTTTGAAAATCTTCCAGGAGACAAATGTCATAACTTCTCTAGGCAACCGGTTCAAAAGTTTCACCACTCACACAGATACTTTTTCCATGTGTTGAAGTAAATTTCCATTGTTGAGAAGAATCCAGTGGATCATGAAGTAGATGTTCAATAACGATCTATTTTAGARTTTTCCACAGTTTAACTTGACTTGAGTGGTAGTTTACATGCTCACATGCATGTGAAACCTTTCCTGCTCAATGTTTGCATGCTGGCTTCCTATTGCAAATTGTATCTAATTGTGTTATTGCTGTTGTATTCCATAGGAAACAAAATTAAGGAATGAAGAGCATCATATCCAGGTAGAGTGAGAAAGAAAATAATTAAGTTGCTACAAAGTAAAAATTGAAGGATTCAGGATTCACAGAAAGTAACTATTAACTCAAGGGTCTGTGAAGCTGATGGAAAAATACTGGGACGTTCTCTGAAATTTTAGGTATCATTTTCAGCCTCTCTTCCATCCTGTCTCCATTTTCCTCTAGCATCTCTCCAGATCTCAGCCACCTCTCTGTAACAATGATTTCCACACATGTGGAAACCCAGTCATCAAACACAAGGCAAAGGTTTGGCCAGACAAAAACAACCGGATCTGGAAACTGATGTCACCTTCTCCTGAAGGGGAAAAGGAGGGGAAGGCTGCTGGTTTTACTCTGATGAATTTTCTGTCTGGTTCTTCTGTTGTAACCACAACCACCTTCTTATCACAGATCTGCCTTTCCCACTGTCTTCATCAAAACTCCCCCCAGTTAAGCAATCCCCTTTCCCTCTTGTTTTCAAACCTGCTCCGAGTCATCCCTGATCCCAGTTACGGCAGCAATCTCACAACAGCTGCAGTACACCGGCAGGATGCTCTTTTCCTCTCCTGCCTTGGCTYACCCTCTGCAAGAGCTGTGTTGGAGCACTGCTGGCTTGGGCTCTGTCCCAGGGCCTCAGGTCACCTCTGGAAAAGGCTGTGGCTGCTTTGTCAAGCGGCTGTTGCGATGTAGGTTGAGAAAGCTGGCTACATGCCCAAGAGTAAAGCTGAATTTTTCAAGGCACTTAATGTTCCTTGTTAGCAGCAGCTTTGTCCAGTTTCTGCCACCCCTTTACTCATGAAGAAGGGAGTGTAAGGTCAGCGTAGCACAATGTAATTTTGACTGAACAGCTTTTTTTTTTTGGCCTATTTACTACAGATTCCAGGATGTGGGCAAGCAAAAATCAAAGGAGTAGCTGCATCCTGCCTTTATAGGTTTTTACAGGTCACCGCTGATGCTGCTTTTATGGCTTTGTCCAGCCAACATAATAAAAATAAAGGCATTGAAGTTCCAGATACTCTACAGAGTGTGTGGTGCACATATGCAAAGATGGAACCAGCAGGTCTCTGGTCTTTAACTCCGGGAAAATACACGGCTCCCATAAATGACCCCACACTTTCCTCCCTAGGCCTAACACAGCAGCCTGGRACTACTAAAATGTAACTGTGATCTACCAACAGATCTTTATTCCCATTTAGCCATTAGCACTGGCTTGAGTTGAAGCGAGGGCCATCCTGGCTTTTTCCCATACAGAAATTTTTCCCATGTGCAAATGCCAACTCATGGCCCTGGAGTGCAACAAGGGCCTTGATCCCCACAAGCTGACATTCAAACACCTGCTTAGCACTGATGATGACAAATGAGTCACAAGAATGAAATTAATGTGAGAGTGACAAGAAACAGTAGAAAAAGTCAAAAACATACATAACTCATCAGATAAACAGTTTTGTAAACTGAAGCTGTATTATCTGAGAAACAATGTGTGACCATTTCATGGCAATTAAAGACCTAGTTTCTTATTCTTATTCTTATTTTTATTCTTATGCAGAGGGGGGAGATTYAAAAGTGGGTTTCAACCATAATGTTGTCATTACTTGACCTTGGGTATTTTTGTCTTGTTAAAAAATGACTCACATTAGTGAGAGCTGACAAAAGGTATTCATGCCTTTATAAAAGAAGGAGACCAAAGCAAGGATTCTTAATCATGTATCATTTCACTTTTCATCTTTCACGTAATTCTGGTGTTAAAAGTTTAAATTATTTTCCCAAGTTTGGATCTTGTGTTGAGAACCAGCCTAGAGAGCTTTTCCAAAGCAGGGAGAATTCTCAGCTGTGTTTGAGAGTCAGTTCTAACAGGTCTAGGGGAGAACAAAGRTAGAAGCTTCCCYCTGGAARCCTTCCTYGCAGACTGTTTAAAAATTATATGTACAAAACTACAAATGAATTATTTACATATTTAACAGAATATAATTGGAAAGGTCAAACAGCAACAAATATGGCAATTTAAACCCTTCCTGTCGCTCCATCTATCTTTGCACAACAAATAGACGGAAAGAGAGAGAAAAGGAAAGAGGCAGCAGCGTGTGATTACCAGAAAAATAGCGCTGGAGCAAGACACTGCAGAGAGCACATAGCTCTCTGCACAGAAATCAATTTCTCCCATGGGATGGGATCAATAGTTGTCTGACAGGACACTATGCAGGCAATTTAATAGCGTTTTATCTAAATGAATCTATTCCTCCCCCCAGCTGGCCTCACAGTTCATAAGAAGTCTCTCTTAGTAAAATAGATTTATTTATTTTTCATAATACAACAGGAAAGTATTTATCATTTTGAAGACACTGTCATTGTCTATAAAAAATCATTTATCCCTGTTAGTTACGCATTACCTACAACTCTTTCTGAACATCTTTATTCTAATTAACTGACTCATGGACAGACCCCATAAAAATTACATTCAGTTATGCTGGAAAAATTTTTCTTACCCCCAAACATTCTAAACTATAGATCAGCCTTTCAGGAAAAACAAGCCCACACAGCAAGCAAACTCAGTTAACTCAAAGGAGCATTGGTATCTGAAATTACATTTTTATGCAACAATAGAGCATATTTGTCAAGGAATGATTTAGACACAGAAATTGGTTGTTCAGTGTATCTATTTTAATAGTACTTRATAAATAATAAATAATAAAGTCAATCTGATCTTATTAGTGGATATCTGTGTGAAGTAAATGATAATGAATGAGAAACCTTAATAAGCATAATTCCAAGGATGGATCTTTAGCACTCTGGGAGTTTGGTATTGTGCCCCAAAGGCTCTTGTAAATCCAGCTGCAGTTCTTGCTCATCATTTAGAAGATTAGGGGCTGATAAGCGACAGTCAAGCCTTATTAGAACAGGCTAAGGCAACAGGAAACATTAATTGGGTAATTTAATGCACAAGGAGACATTAAATGCCTGCATTGTGGTTCAGATGCTGTTTACTCTATTGATTTGTTCAYGTCTCGTTCTATGAAATTCTCKCAAATTCTTGGTGGAGAGGGTGTGRGACAAAGCCTAGGTTTAAAAATACCAAACTACTCCCTTGTCCAGGGACTCTTCCAGCAAAGGAGGGCAGAGATCCAAGGTCTAGCAGCCATCTGCAATGAAATGCTGTCTCACCATCTCACTGGTGTCAYGGTTTCTTTCACAGCGTCTGCAGTAGAGCAGGAGCCCTGTGAACATGGGAGGAAGTCCAGACTGTTTTTACCTCTGGAAAGCTGGGAACACTCAACAAAGCTCTCTTCTCTCGCACCATTCTGGAGGAGATGTAGAAAGAGTTACTGGACTGATCTCCCTCTGG